ATTTTTTTTTTTTTTTTTTGAAACAGAACCTCAAGTTGTCACCCTGGGTAGAGTGCTGTGGCATCATAGCTCACAACAACCTCCACCTTCTGGGCTCAAGCGATTCTCTTGCCTCAACCTCCCAAGTAGCTGGGACTACAGGCACCTGTCACAACGCCCGGCTATCATTTTTGTGGTTGTAGCTGTTGTTGGATTCAAACCCACCAGCTCTGGTGTATGTGGCTAGCACCTTAGCCACTTCAGCTACAGACACCAAGCCACCTATAATGATTTTTTAAATGTGATAGAAGAAGAGTTCAACAATTCAGGTTTCTTCGTGTGAATATTTATTTGACTAATGCCAATATTACCCTTTACCCTGCACTCTACAGTGCCACCTTTGTCATAAATCACCTCATGTGTGAGTCTATCTCTGAGCTTATTGTGTTCCATTGCACTAGTATCACACTGCCTTAATTATTGTACCTTTATAACAAGTCTTTTTTTTGAGACAGGAGCCTCAAGCTGTCGCCCTGGGTAGAGTGCCATGGCATTTCAGCTCACAGCAACCTCCAACTCCTGGGTTCAAACGAGTCTCCTGCCTCCACCTCCCAAGTAGCTGGGACCACAGGCGTCCACCACAACGCCCGGCAATTTTTTGGTTGCAGCCGTCATTGTTTTGGCGGGCCCGGGCTGGATTCGAACCCACCACCTTGGGTGTACGTGGCTGGCACCTTAACCACTTGAACCACAGGCGCTGAGCCTATAACAAGTCTTAATATCTGGTAGTCTACCTCCTCAAAACATGGTTCTTAGAGATTATCTTGACTATTTGTGGTCCTTTTATTTGTGCTTATATTTATTTTTTATTTATTTTCTTTTTTTTCAGACAGTCTCATTATGTCAGCCCTCAGTAGAGTACCGTGGCATCACAGCTCACAACAACCTCAAACTCTTGGGCTTGATCAGTTCTCTTGCCTCAGCCTCCCAAGTAGCTGGGACTACAGGAGCCTGCCACAATGCCCAACTATTTTTTTATTGTAGTTGTCATTGTTGTTTAGCAGGCCCAGGCTGGATTCAAATCTTTCAATAGATTGTTCCTTGCTTTTTAATGTTTTTTAATGCTGTCATAAATGGTATTCTCACTGGGCATAATGGCTTATTCCTATTATCCTAGCACTCTGGGAGGCTGAGACAGGAGAATCACTTGAGCTCAGAAGTTCGAGACCAGTCTGAGCAAGAAAGGGACCCCGTCTCTGCTAAAAATAGAAAAACTATCTGGGTGTTGTGGCAGTGGTCTGTAGGACATGCTACTTGGAAGGCTGAGGCACGAGGATTGCTTAAGCCTAAGAATCTGAGGTTGCAGTGAGCTATGATTACACCACTATACTCTACCCATGGCAACAGAGTGAGACTCTTGTCTTAAAAAAATTAGAAAGAAAAAGCCTAAATGTGGGGAATGTTTAAATAATTTATGGGAGATACATAATTAGAAGATTATGAGCTATTGGCTTAGAGCCTGTGGCTCAAACGGCTAAGGCGTCAGCCACATACACCTGAGCTGGCAGGTTCGAATCCAGCCTGGGCATGACAACAACAATGATGGCTGCAACCAAAAAAAATAGCCAGCCCTACTTACAAAATATTCATTACAGAATTTTACAAAATATTTTCTATGTGTTAGCTACCTCCTCATTAAATTTTATAATGGATATTTTGTAAATAAAGGTACATTCAGCTATAATTTCCCATTTTCCCTATATACATCGACTTTAGGGGTGACTTTTGGGACACCACATAATAACAACAATATATTGATATTTCAAAATAGCTAGAAGAGAGGACTTGAGTCCCATTTCTACTTAAAAACAGAAAACTAGCTGGGTGTTGTGGCAGCAGCCTATATATAGTCCCAGCTACTCAAGAGACTGAGGCAGGAGGATTGCTTAAGCCCAAGAGTTTGAGATTGCTTGTGGGCTATGATGTGATGGCACTCTACCAAGGGCAACAGAGTCTGTCTCAAAAAAATAAATATAAAACATAGGGTGGAAAATAAAACATAAAAAAAAATCTGGGGCTCGGCGGCTAAGGCACCAGCCAGCCACATACACCAGGGCTGGCAGGTTCAAACCCAGCCCAGTCCTGCCAAACAACAATCACAATCACAACAACAACAACAAAATCTGATTTACTGACTTAAGTAATGCAAAAGAAATTTAGGATGTAGTAGGTACTCTATGATAGTTTCCCTTCCACTCCCTTCCTTTTATTTACATACTTCTCTCTCACTTCTAGGAGGTTAGCAGAGGCATTTCATATCACTGAGGATTCTGATCCGTTCAATGTACGTTCTTCAGGGTCAAAATTCAGTGACAGTTTGAAAGAAGATGGCAGGTATATAACTTATTACATCTTTTTTTTTTACCTGTGAGAGTAATACTCTTATAAGAGTTCTTAGTCCTTTAAGATGTAGTAACTAATAAATATTTCTTCTGTGATTAAGCCAGTTCAAGTTTGTTTATCTGTTGCAAGATACCCTTCTCTTAGTTTCTCAAAACTGTCCCTTTGAAGAGCTGAAGTTGAGGTGGGGGTGGGGATGGGGCTATGGTAAGAGTTTGAGCCTTTTTGTTTTGTAGATGAAAGTGAAAGATCTGGCTCAGCGCCTGTGGCTCAAGTGGCTAAGGCGCCAGCCACGTACACCCAAGGTGGCGGGTTCAAATCCAGCCCAGGCCTGCCAAACAACAACGATGGCTGCAACCAAAAAATAGCCGGGCGTAGTGGCAGGCACCTGAGGTCCCAGCTACTAGGGAGGCTGAAGCAAGAGACTCGCTTGAGCCCGGGAGTTGGAGGTTGCTGTGAGCTGTGATGCCACGGCACTCTACCCAGGGGACAGCTTAAGGCTCTTGTCTCAAAAAAAAGTGAAAGATCTCTGGGCTTCATTCCATCTTGTCCACCCAAGTCTCACATTCACATGGGTTCTCACCTGGAGCAGTAAGAGCTCCTGTCTCTTGGCACTCTGATGGCTATTTCTCCATCTTCTTTTCTCATATATTTTTTTTCTTGTTCTTCCTTCATTCTGTCACAGTTGACATTCTGTTGTCTGACAATTCCTGACCTCTGCAGTTTTTCTGCCAACATTGTCTATTGTTTGCATTGTGCAGGCAGAGGGTGGAAGGAAGAAGTTCCCAGAAGGGCAGATGAAATTAACTATGGTGATTTTTCATTTCAGGAAGGACTTAAAGTTTGTCAGTGACATCGAGAAGGAAATGGAAACCCTTGTGGAGGCTGTGAATAAGGTTGAAGTCAAAACATCCCACTGAACATTTCTCTAAGGCTAACTTGATAAAAAATCAAGTTGCAGAAACACTGTCAGCCTAGAGTAGTTGTAGGAAGAACTTCCTACACTTCCTTGAGGATCCTTACCCCAAATCCCATCCATGTAAACCAAGAAAAACTCACTGGTAATAATTAAAAGACTACATGGAACACTTAAGCAGTCACAAGAAGTCCTCAGATCTTTGAAGGGCTGTGATACGATAGGAGAGCATACTGGGTCTTTATTAACCCAAAGACAGGAAAGAAATCCTAGGAGAGGGATAAAAGTAGTATGCCTAGAACTGAAGAGAGTGGAGTAGACTCCTCCAAAGACCAAGGCCCCTGTCCTAGAGTGGCCAGGGATGTCAAGAAGGTAGCTTTGGCTCGGTGCCTGTGGCTCAAGTGGCTAAGGTGCCAGCCACATACACCTAAGGTGGTGGGTTCAAATCCAGCCTGGGCCCGCCAAACAACAATGATGGTTGCAACCAAAAAAAAAAAAAAAGCCAGGTGTTGTGGTGGGCACCTATGGTCCCAGCTACTTGGGAGGTAGAGGCAAGAGACTCACTTGAGCCCAGGGGTTGGAGGTTGCTGTGAGCTATGATGCCTTGGCACTCTACCCAGGGGGACAGCTTGAGGCTCTGTTTCAAAAAAAAAAAAAAAAGAAGGTAGCTTTAAGGGAAAAAAGTCTGATTTAGTCAGAAGCTGCCAGTGTCACAGCACCTCCCTCTTCAGTCAGTGGGGACTAGGAGTGAAGACAAGATGACTGATTGAGCTGCATATCTAAGATGGATGGTTTCCCTCCCCCCTCTTCCCATTCCCTTCCTTTCCTCCTGTTAACATTCGGTTTCCCACAGAATACCTACATGAAAGAAAATACAGAATATATTGTTTCTATCCTAGAGACCTGAGCAAATGTATTCCTCTGCTTTTGTGTCTTTACCACATACTCATGGTTTTTAGAATAGAACATGCTTTTTTAGGAAATGAGATTTTCTTATTTCACAAGTCTTCAACGTATTTGGTCATTTCTTGGGACTATCACTCATTCTCTAGCTGTGGGACCTGTCAGAAGCAGGAGCAGTTAGTGTCCATCTGAGTCTTTTTGTCCCTCACCCTGTCCAGCTGCTACTATTGTCACTTACAGAGCATTAGCGTTCATCTTCCCAAACCTCTCCAGGTTTGCTTAGCAATTAATGAAGTAATTAATATGTCCTATGGGCCTCTAAAATTCAATCTGCTTTTATTGACCCATACTATTATAGTAAGATTAGTTATAAGCATTTTCTGTTTTCAGAATGATGTCAATCAGTCATCTTTTCTCTCAATACAGGGAAAGAATAGTAAGAAAAGCCACTGCTTCCCTCCCATGAACAGAGACCACCGCCGGATTATCCATGACCTGGCCCAAGCGTATGGCCTGGAGAGCGTGAGCTATGACAGTGAACCAAAGCGCAATGTCGTGGTGACTGCCATCAGGTAGGTTGATCTCGCTATTACGGGAGTAACTCCTCAGGAGGGCAAACTGGACCTACTTACGTCTACTTTCCCACTTGGAATCCTAGAAGGAAAATCTGCTTCCCTAGGACTTCTAAGATGATCTATAGACCTGAGCCAGAGAGAAGAGCCCATTCCTCAGTCCATAGGGCAAAAATACTGAACATATACAAGCCTCACATCTGCCAGATCCACAGTACACACGGGGAGTAGCACTTTTTCGGACAGAAGGAACAGACCCTGGGGGCCTAGGCAGAGTGCCTGCCCATCACATCAGTCCCTTCCCCTTCTGTCCTCTTATCCTCCCTCTAGGAGGATAGAGTATGAGAGAAATGGAAAGAAAGCTGATTCAAGGCATCCCCTATGAGCAGTATTTTGCCATCAGAGGAAACTGAGACAGTAATGGGAGCCAGGAGGGGATAGGCATGACCTAGAGTCACTGCCAGAACCTGAAAGAATAGGAAGAACTTACCAGTGGGAAAAAACTCAAGTGTGCCATGAGAGGAAGCAGGCATTAGGCCTAGCAGAGGAGGGTGGAAAGGCCAAGGGTTAAATGTCAATGACTACACCTGAGAGGAGACAGATACACCAGAGAGTGCTTAGCAGTGTCACAGACTGAGTTTCTAACTGCCTATCTCCCCAAACAATTCTTATTTTTCAATACTTGGTGTTTTGACTTTTATCAGAGGGAAATCCATCTGTCCTCCTACCACGCTGACAGTTGTGCTTGAAAGGGAAATGCAGACACGGCCTCCACCACCAATTCCTCATCACAGACATCCAACAGACAAGTAAGAATTCTCCAGCCACTCTCCAAAGGGACCTGTCTGTTGAGAGAAGCCAACCCGGCCTGAACTGTCTTAGGCTACACCAGCCATTGGTGGCTTTCTCAGGCCTGGCCTTGGGTGCCATGTTCAAATATGTAATATTTGGTTGGCATATCAAATATGTTTGTGCCAGAGGGATTGAAGTTTGATGTTTCTGATACCTGATTCCACTCCAGGGAGAGCAGTCAATAAACATAGTTTCCATAGTGTAGAATGTAGTAATACTGGGAAGTAGATTCTGTCTGTTACACCAGATGGTTTGGGACTAGAACACCCCTGGGTTAACAATAGTTACTCTAGGCTGGGTACAGTGACTCATGCCTGTAATCCTAGCACTCTGGGAGGCCAATATGAGTAGATAGCTTGAGCTCACATGTTCAAGACCAGCTTGAGTAAAAGCGAGACCCCATCTCTACTAAAAATAGAAAAAAAGGCTCAGCGCCTGTGGCTCAAGCGGCTAAGGCGCTAGCCACATACACCTAAGGTGGCGGGTTCGAATCCAGCCAGGCCCACCAAACAACAATGACAGCTGCAATCAAAAATAGCCGGGCATTGTGGCGGGCACCTGTGGTCCCAGCTACTTGGGAGGCAGAGGCAGAAGACTGGCTTGAGCCCAGGAGTTGGAGGTTGTTGTGAGCTATGATGCCACAGCACTCTACCCAGGGGGACAGCTTGAGGCTCTGTCTCAAAAAAAAAAAAATTTGTTACTCTGTAGATAGAAATGGGTTTAGAGGTGAAAGCTAACTAAGTGAAAGGGGTGGGGGAACTTTAATGTTTTATTTCTATATGGTTTGAACAAATTTTACAACATATTCATGATTTAAAGAGAAAAGAAAACAAAACTGGCAAGGAGCAAGTCTGTATGATGTTTTCTCAGACAGGAACAGGGAGGGAGCACTGTCCTGCATTCTCCCTTGTCAGAAAGGGACCCCAGATGCCATACTCTGACCAAGACAGTGGACTAAAAGTTACTCTGAAGTCCAAAGAGATTCCTACTCCTGTTCAGGCCTTCACACAAATTCTAGCAGTACCTCCACTATGCTTCCTGAATAAAACCTGTGGGTGAGTGGTTAGGGCAATTTACAAGGTCACCATTAAGGTTATAGCAAATTGGTGTTCCATGGGACTGGACAAGATAGCAAGTGTTGGCTCGGCACCCGTAGCTCAGTGGTTACAGTGTCAGCCACATACACCAAAGGTGGCAGGTTCGAACACAGGCAAGGACAGCTTTAACCAACAGTGACGACTGTAACAAAAAATAGCCTCAAAAAAAGAAAGAAAAAAAAGATAGCTAATTGTTGCCTGTTGGGCACAGCCTCAGCCAAGAGCATCTGGAGCCATGTAGCTCCCCGGGACCAGCTCCTCTTCCCCTTAGAAACCAGAGTCCCGGCTCGGCGCCTGTGGCTAAGGCGCCCGCCCACATACACCTAAGGTGGCAGGTTCAAATCCAGCCCAGGCCCGCCAAAACAACAATGACGGCTGCAGCCAAAAAATAGCTGGGCGATGTGGTGGGCACCTGTGGTCCCAGCTACTTGGGAGACGGAGGCAGGAGACTCGCTTGAGCCCAGGAGTTGGAGGTTGCTATGAGCTGTGATGCCACGGCACTCTATCCAGGGCGACAGCTTGAGGCTCTGTCTCAAAAAAAAAAAGAAACCAGAGTCACAGGTCTGGTCAAAGGGACAGAGGTCCCTCATGGACAGAGGTTTTCAAAATGTGAGGGATATTCCAAGACCTTGCCCCAACTGTGCTCTGTAGGCGTAACATGTGGAATCATTGGCTTATTTAGGCCATGATGTCTTTTTTCCCTCCTTTGCTTGCTTTATGTTTAGAAAGAATAGTACTAATATAATGAATATCTGTGTGGCCATCACCAGATTTCAACAATTACCAGCTCATGTTTGCCCCCCTGTCTTATCAAAGCTCACAAATAGTAAATCAGCTAATCCTTAACTTTCTGAAGACCTGTATTTGTTTCCTCTGAAGATGAAAAGATTGAACATTCTTTGTTTGCTTTTCAGGAATTCTGGAAGCTGTAATTTACAGAAAATAGCCAAGGAGCCAATAATTGACTACTTTGATGTCCAGGACTGAGAAGATCAAGATGCACTTAGATAAAAGAATGATTAGGTGTAGTGGAGACTAATCTGCCAGCAGATAAATCATGCTTGTTCCCTACTGCCTGATAGAATCACAGTGTCATATACTGTCTTATACTGATACATCCAAAGCATGTGTGTGTCAGAAATCCCTTTGTCTGTTCCTGTCTGTATAAAGCATTTCAGTATGGCCAGATCTCTGATTGGATGAGTCCAAGGAATTCAGTTATATATTTGAAGAGGCTTCTCATGCCATCGCTGTGCTTGCTCTGAGGGTTGACTGTTGGACTTTTATTTGGACAAATCAGAATTTTAGCCCAAAACCGGCTTTAGGGCACTTATTCATAGCCTCAGTTATCCCAGTTTTTCATTCTCAGACTATCTAAAATGTCAACGAACCTCTCTTTCTTTATCCAAACTGATTGAATGAAATCTTTGGAAAGACACAAGCACATTTCGTACTCTAAAATAATCAAACGTTGAATTGGTATACCATATCTGGATTCACACATTTTGTCTTCACCCCAACTTTCTTACCTGTCTTTTGCTAAAAGCTCTCATAGATAGCTGAACTTCTTTTAGTGGTTCTCAGTGCTGTCAGTCCTGAACCTAAGGAGAAGGGTCAGGTTCTTTACAGAATTCCATTTCCTTAGGTCCCTGGCACTTCTCAAACCACATCACTGAGCCTATTCAGTGACAGTCAGTTTAGCCATCCACCATGGTAGAGTACATAGAGCAAACTCTTTCTTCTGCCAAGTTCACACCGTGACCTCTTAATTGACCAGTGTAGCCCAAACTCCTATGTTAGAAAGAGTCTTCATGGACAACTGTGAAGCTTTTTCCTGGGCTTTCAACAGCCATATTGGCTCTCCCTGTCTCTGAGCTCTGCACTTGTTTGAATATTCAAAGAAGTATGTGGACAGTCCAGGGCTTATGTCCAGCATCCATTGGAGGCATTCTTCAGGCTTTTAGGTGTGTTGATAGTTAGATTAGTTTCACCTTCTACATTGGCACTTCTGCAGCATGGAAGCCAGACTTCCAGCAGTTTCCTTCTGCTCCAGCACAGGCCACAAGCCCCAGAGCAGCAGCAGGAGATTTGAAAAATGGAGTCATTTTTGTGGGAAGAGCAGGGCTGCCCTTTGGTTCTCACCCAAGCAACCTGCTTTTAAAGGCATCAGATACAACAGCAGTAACAGGCACCTGGAGGAAAGTGATAGAAAACAACAAAACAACCCTTACCTGGGCCCATTTAGCACGTGTAAGAGGAAGCCCTTGCGCATCCAATTTTTCAAGCAGTGGATTCACTGGTAAACTGTACCTGTGAGAGCATCTCAGTCAGCAGGAGGCAGGTACCCTGATTTCAGATTCTAGCTCTGCCACATAACAGCTTGTCATTTGATGGAATGAAAGTTTCACCAGCTTCACCAGTGTTGTGGGGATTACATAATATTTGCCAAGTAAAAAGTATGGAATGCTAAACAGGCCTCTTCTGGTGAACATTTGCCTGTCTACCCTGTGCCAGCCTTGGGCTCGGGCTCTGGGAAGCACATGTGACCTGTTTTCCTACATTTACTGAGAGTAATCCAATGAGGACACATACCTGAATACAAGTTTGTTGCCTGTTTTTTGTTTTTAAGAGACAAGAGTCTCAGTTTGTCACCCTCAGGAGAGTGCTGTGGCATCACAGCTCATAGCAATCTCTAGCTCTTGGGCTTAGGTGATTCTCTTGCCTCAGCTTCCCAAGTAGCTGGGACTACAG